TTTTCCTATCATATTGGAAAGGTGGTATCTTAGAATCACACAATATGTGGAAAATCATCTAATTCCAACCCCCTTGTCATGGGTAGGGACACCTTCCACTAGACAAGAGAGCACAAATACTCTATCTAACCTGGCCTTGAATACTTCCAGGGATGGGTCATCCACAATATCTCTGGGAAAACTGTTCCAGTGTCTCAATGATCCTGACAGTAGATGTTTTCCTAATATCTAATTTAAACTTTCCCTCTATCAGTTTAAAGCCAATACCCCTTGTCCTATCACTACAGCCTTTATAAAAGTCCTTCTTCAGCTCTATCATAGCCCCCTTTATGTGCCAGAAGGTGCTATAAGGTCAACCTTGTTCAGCACTCCAGGCTGAACAACCCCAACTGTCTCAGCCCATTCACACAGGAGAGGAGCTCCAGCCATCTGACCATCTTCCTCTGGACTCACTCCAGCAGGTCCATGTCCTTCCTGTGCTGGGGTCCCCAGAGCTGGATGTAGAACTGCAAGTGGAGACACAAGAGCAGAGTAGAGGGGGAGGAGCATTTCCATCAATCTGCTGCCCCCACTACTCTGGATGCTCTGGATGCAAATTGGCTTTCTGGGCTTTGGTGCACATTCATTGACAGATGATATTGAGTTTCTTGTCAGCCAACATCCCCAAGTCCTTCTCCTCAGGGCTGCTCTCAATCTTATCTTCATGTGTTTTCAGGTCAAGGCTGCAACAAAGCAAAATGGATCTTGTAATAACAGTATCTGGATAAAAAGATGACTCCTGGCTCTTGGCAGTTTCAAGATCTTCTCTCTTAAGTATTTCCAGACTAAAGAATTATATGGTTCTAAGATTCCTTGTCATATTTTAAGCCATTGTTTGAAAGTTAAATGTATGAAAAAATGTATGAAAAAAACAGAAACAAGGAAAGAGAGAAAATCTTGCTTCCTAATTTTCAACTGTCATGATTTTGTGAAACTACTTTCCTGTCCAGTGGTACCTTTGATATGTTCTCTGATTGTACCCAGCTAAATCTTGCTTTATCTTCTTACAGAACTCTCACCCACCTATTATTTCCATGTATGAAAAGCAGAGGGAGACATAGGAAATATTATTTCTCCAAATAAAGGGATTTGGAGCTATCACTGTACAGGGAAAGGAAAACATTTCTAACGCATGTAGACATATACTAGAATAGAATTTGCAGACCTTTTGTAAAGTTTGAATTGTGAATCCCATGTTCTTATAAGGGCTTTATTTGTAGTAACACCTAAGGAGATCATGTTGAGTTTACAGACAGCAAAAGACACATGCACACATGCATTCACGAAGTGTATCTCCATGCAATACCACACTTATGACAATACAATTTATTTTATGCCAAGTGCTGTGTGCCACAGATTGCTGTATCAGCACAGTACTCACAAACTCCACCAGTGAGTGGAATTTATACTCAGTGAGCTTTTTTATACTCAGTTCCTAGACATGGTCTTCCAAAACTGATTTTTTCTCTCTCTAGAAAGCTTTGAGTCTTGAAGCCCTGTCATGTCTCAGACTAGGGGCATGCTTTTCTCCACTGAGGGTTAAATGATCATCTCTTACATTCCCACACTGTGGGAGAATCTTTGGCAAATTTTCATTATAATTTTGAATTCTGGCCCAGCATTCTTATAAGCTTATTTGAGTTTGGTGTAATCCTTAGTTTTATACAAGTAATTCTATTCAAATAACAAATATTTGGGTCCTAGATGACTCTTAAGAGATTTAATGTGGAATCTCTGCTTCCTTCCAGTTTGCCAATGATTACTTTCTTGGAACTTAGGAACTTCTTTACAGCCATCTCTTTATCTACTTGAAAAGCAACCAACAGTCTAAGTGATGAGATGATTCAGGTAGGTGGCCTTCATGTTTGGTCACAAATTAGCTGGACCACCAGCTTCAGAGTGTATTACAACAGCATTAAGTCTAGCTGTCAGCTACATAGTAGCTTTCCTTCAGGGTTAACACTGAGGAAAATAGTATCTTTATTAATGAGCTGTACAGTCAATACATTTGTGCATAATACACAGCAAATTCTGTGTATGCAGCAAGATGAAGGGGAGTCAATGCTTCACTTAATCTCTGGAGGACAGGGCTGATGTGTCAGTGGATGCTGGCAGCCTGAAGGAATGGGCTGGCAGAACATTAACATTGCTCAAAAACAAATTAAATTTTTGGATCCCTAGTGGAAAACCCCTATGTAACAAAACTGGTTGGGGGGTTGATTGTACAGGAAGCAGCTTTACCCATGGGGGCAAGAAGTTTCAATAGCAATTTCAATAGTAATTTCAAAAGCAATTGCAGTAAAGGAATCCAACCTTACCACCCCCTCCAAGTCCCTGAAAGGAAGTTGTAGTGAGGTGTGGGCTGGTCTCTTCTCACAAGTAACAAGTTGAGTTAGGAAGAGAGGAAATGGCTTCAAGTTGTTCCAGGAAAGTTTAGTCTGGAGGTATTTAAAAGACTTGTTGATGTGACATTTAGGGACATAGTTTAGTGATTGACTTGGCAGTGCTTGGTTTACTGTCAGACTCGATGTCAGAGGTATTTTCCAATCTAAACAAATGTATGATTCTCCTTTCTTCCCCTGAATACAGTGTCTCTTTCATGATGAATAATTTGGAGTCAATAGGGTTAGGAACTGGAAGCCCAGAAGAGCCAATATGGAAACCCAGTTTAGTCCTGCCTACCTCTCCAGAAATAAGGCACTTAAAAGGCAGGTCTTGTGTAATTTCCTTATAGGAATTGAATCCTCACTAGGATCTGGCCTTTTATTCCTATGCAGGGATTACATAAAATATTAGACAAATACTTTTTTTTTTTTAATTAGAATATCTTATTTTAATGTGTGGCAGGATGCTTGTACACACACAGAAATAAGTAAACCATCTGTGGGCCACAAAAATCAGCTGGGGTCAAATCCTGAACTTAACTGAAGATCTTTGTAAAATCATGGACTTAAATTAGGTCCACATTCCCCAGCTACAAATCAACCTCTCTGTTGAACAAATAAGACTGCCACAGAATGTTATATCTTCTCCAGAAAAGCAAGCAAACTTACACAAGATATTTGATAGGAATCATCCATCACTGTGCCTTTGATCAACTAAATAGAATGTCTTTCCCACCTTAGAGAAGCTGAGGTTTGGGTGTTTGTCTCTCCCAGGAGAAAACAGATGCACCCTTTCCAGGCTGTATGATGTCTGACTTTGGTGACTACTCATGCCTGGTGAGAGCTCAGGGATTACGTAGGAGAGAAGCTTAAGGCAGAAGGAAGCCTTTAAACTTTGAGAGCTTTGGGGACATTTTCTTGATCTTAGATGATATAGCATCTACCATGTTACTTATGATAATTCTAAAGTTCAAGGAGCCCCAGTCTCATAATGGACATAGAATATATATTTCAAATGCACTAATTCCTATATTGTCTTTTTTTTACTTTTGCCCTTTTGTGCTGAATTCATATTTACAGACATGGCAGCTATGTCAGTAAAAGATAGATGTGAACAAATACTTTCAGTAATCATGTTACTAAAGTATAGATTGAAATGACTAGAGAAGCAATTTCTATTCAAGTTATTTTTAACTGCATTGACTGATTGTGACTAGATTCATTAGGCAAGAATTTAGACCAAATCTATATTCAAGCTACTAGTTAGCACCATGAGGAGGGTCATGATATCTGGAAAATTCCAAAGCATTTGCCCAAACTTACCTGTCTGCTGAAGAATGTTTTCCTGTCTTAGTCCTGTCAAATTAGGCAATTCCTTGCCTATCTGATTTGCAAGGGTCTGACCACTCTTTTAAGGAGGTTCTGCACTAAAATCAGCTAGAGATGGTGTTAATTCAAACAAACTACATGGAGTTCTTCCCAAAAGGATACATAATCAGGTTCCCTAGTTTTTGAAATAATTTCCTGACCACCAGGTTGTGCCATGTTGTAAGACAGAGGAGCTATATCTGCATAAAAATCAATTTAATAGCTGTGGCTATTTCAACATCACAACTTTCTAGTCTAGTGGTTTGGTCACACTTGGACAGTGAGAAAGCTGCATTCCAATACTCATTTTTGGAAACATGTAAAACATAAAGCTTAATTTATATTAAGCTTTAATTAGAATGAGTTTGCAGCACATTTCTCCCCTTTCTCTGAGAGTATATGACAGATTCAGCACTTTTCTTTCTGTACTCTAATGAGTATCAGGAGACAGGTGACTACATATCCAGGTAGACTGAGAAGGGGCTAGAACCCAAATAAAACACAGCAAGGGCACAAATATTAGCTAATAACTATCACATGAACATTGCTATGACAGCAATATACCCGTGCTTGTCAAATTTTCCCTGTTGATACTTCAAAACACATCAGCAATGCTCTTGCATTTCACAACAAATATCCATTAGTGTGTTTTTTTCAGAGAAGAGTGAATTTATTAAAATGTATGTTTGTGAAGAGTTGAAATCATGTGTAAATTCAGGCTGCATCCAGGACATAATTTCAGCTAGCAAAAGTGAAGAACATGTTGAAATAATTAAATATTCTATTTCAGTATTTTAAAGGATTTTTTTCAAAATATAGTCATAAAGGTTATGCTGTAATTTAATTTAACAACATTTTCTTTTTTATCATAAAAATATGATTGAAAATTAAGCTAAGCTGAGAGGAAAGGAAATAGGAAAGTGCTAAGAGGGGACTTAATTCACATATATGAAAACCAAACCAAGCTAATTAAGGTTGAAATAAATATGTCTAACTAATTTACAAGGAGGTTGTTTTGTTTACTGTAATAAATAAAAAATCCTCAAGAAGTCAAAGCATGACTTGACTGAACTTTTGCCTGTGGCACTTCACAGCAAAATGCATGACTTGACCAGATCCAGCATACATTCATGGGTTGGTGACAAGGCCAAACCACAGTGGGGAGAACAGACAATCTTTGCTAATGATCTAATTCTCACAGCCACAGTATAAACCAGCACTGGTATTTATTTATTTCTTCTCAAAAGGAAAGTCCTGAGTATACAGAGAACAGCAGAACTGGAAGAAAAGCATTTTCTTCTATTTTGTTCAGCTATTGTCAAATATTTATGCTCAGGTGGTGTTTTCTTTTTAAAAATTGTATATTTAAAACACAAAGCCATGAAATGTTTAACACCATTCTGGAAAACTGATTTGTACAGAGTTTAGTTACATTTATTATTTAACAAGTGAATAGTAAAACTTACTTAAAGTTCCTCCGAGCATTTCAGATATTAGCAGGCTTTATAGAGATAAGAATAACAGGATTACTAGGGATGCTAATACTATACAGCATAATTAAAAGCTACAACTAATATGGCTATTACTATCACTTTAGAACTATGCTACAATCTATTATGCTTTCTTAGCAAGTTAATGAAATTCTTTGTCCCACACACAAAGGATCTGCAGTATAACAAAGTTATTAATGAAAGTAATTGAACCCGTTAGAATAAAAAAGGATCACTGGCAAAAAAAAAAAAAAAAAGGGTAAATGCAATTCACTTACTCAACAATCATACTATTGTTTTGTAAACAATTCAAATTTTTAAAAGGCTTATCACTTCATGCTGTACACAGATCTTTTGAAAAATATCGGTGCATGTATTTCTTTGAACATCTAAATCAGTTTTAAAAGCAAAGTTTTGCTTAAAAACTGCAACAGGAATGTAACTTCAGCAACTAAAAAACACCAAGTGATATTTCAGGAGTAACAAGTAAGGTATACAAGCTTAAAAAATTTTCTCCTGCCAATAGACATTGTTTTTCTTTTATTGTGGCTTAATACGGTTTCATAATTTCCTTGGCTTTAAGATCAATGAGTTTTTAAAGTGTAAAATGCATCTGATTCCTCTTACCTTATGCTGAAGGACAGATTGATTTGTTAGGCATTTCGGTTTTTTCACGTATTAAAAATTAAGCAATAAGGCACAATGTGGAGGAGTGATTATCTGATGATAATCCCAGCATCCTGAAATTGCTTTATTGCAAATATAAATATATTTTAGATTTTTCACTGGATATTATGGGCATTAGCATGCCCATAGAGTTTCATTTTCCCCTTCAGAATATTAAATTCATAAGGCTTTTTTTATTTCTAAGCTATTTTTTAATGTGCAAGACAGGACTTCATATAGTCAAGAAATACTGTAATTGGCTGGTGTATACTCCACTGGGGAGATTAATTTACAAGCACTGTACAGTTCTGCTAAAACTACTTTTCAACCTTTCAAAATGTCAATAGTATATTTTCCCAGCCCTGTAAACACATTTTGATACACAATATAAACTTTAATGGTAGTTTTAAGACACCTCTGGGGGTATGGTTATTTAAGCAATAAGACACAGTGGGGTGTGAATTATGGTATAATAATTCCCCACTAACTGCATTGTTAGGCTCAAGGCCAAAGGCCAAGAGACCAATGAACACACTAGGTGTGAATTATGACTTCATAAGTCACACTCTAGAGTGTCTTACTGCCGTTATAAAAATATTTAAAACATGTTTTAAAGCAAGTACTTTATTCCTAGAGTACTGTACTTTAATGGAATATAATGAAAAATCTTCCTAAGTAAAAATTTAGCCATTATGTAATAACCTGAAATTAAAAAAAAAAAAATTGAAACAAACAAAAAAAAGTCTTCTAAGTTTGTCATATTGCACTGTGGTGACATGCTTTAAAGAATAGCCCCAGAAAATATATGCCTTACCCAAGTTTGCAAAAAATAGCACAAAGGCCTTCTTCACAGGGAATTATAATCTGCTTTGCTCATTGTCTGTAGAATCAGATTGCAAAAATCAGGGGTGTACTGGCTTCTCTCATGTAACTCTGTTGCTGAAACTGCTAGAAAATCTACACACCTTTTTTTCCACACTTGTCCATACTGCTGTAATAGGGCACAATGTGGACTTTGAACAAGTAGCAAAAAAGTTCCTTAAGACCTCATTTGAACTCCTGCAGCTGAGCTCCTGAGGTTGCTCACAGTTCTAACACAACTTTTGGTAAGGACGGCAAGTAGGATAATGTATATTTATACTGTTTCCCGTTTTAAACTCCATTTGACAAATGCCTTTTCTCCCCTCTGGGCACTCTCGCATTCCAAGTGCAGCAATGACAACAGTGTCATCTGGAGATACACAAGCTCACCTTACAAATAGCTAAGTGACTGCGAGCAAGCTCACTGCAGCAGCAGGGATTTTGGCATGATCTAAACTGGCTTCTCAGTCAGTTTTTACAGCTTGTCTTAAACTTCCAGGCTGCTGTGGATTGATTGCTAGCAGTGGCTGAGCCAGCTAGAGAGCACTAGGGTTAGCAATATGATAGAGTTTATGGCAGGGCTGCTTGCCAGACCCATTTGGGGAGCGATAAGCCTCAGGGCCTTCTGCACGTCTCAGTGCTCCGAGGTGCTCAGCACTGCCAGGCTGGCTGGCTAGAGGTTGTTGTGGCTATGGATAGGGATGCTGTGCCATGTAGGGATAACAACCTGCATCCTGGAAGCAAAATAGCTGCAAGATCAGGTTAATTAGCTCTTCTGCATCCAGTTCTGGAGCTGTTGCATTTTGCACTCACAGAGGGATCTCTGTGTGTCCCTGGTTATCTGAGCAAAAAATCAGAAACCTCAGTTCTTCCAGGCACAGCCTCATTCTAGCATAACTGTGTAGCAGGTGAGAGTTGTTTTCTGCATAACCTCACTCACCGGGATTACCTGCCCCTCCTGGATAAAGTAATTGTCTGTGGCCATTTACATCAGTCAAAGGTAAGATTTGGAATCTAGAGTTCCTCATTCTCCATGATATAGAAATGGATAATCTTATACAGAAAACTTCTGTGAAGCTAACAGGGGTAACAAAGAAAAATTCTGAGCTAACTTGGTGTCTCCCCTTCCTTGTCCACTCAAAATGTCTGTTTTAATCTCATGCAAGAGAAGATGCTTAATTCTGCCTACAGATTGATGATACTCATGGGAACAGTTTGAGTTTTGTTGCTTCCCTGAATAAACAATCAAACAAGCATGTGGTTGTTTTTTGTATTCACCCTGATTGAAACTTCTGTCAAGCATGATGGAAGAACCTACAACTCTATGTATTTTTTCCTTTTCCAACAACTTCCATTCTTGCCATTCTATACCTAGCTTACATTTTAAAATATTTGTTTTACATCCACTTGCAAAACTGGAAACACTTTTTCCTGGTTCTCAATAGGAATGGGACAAACAACCAAGAGAAGTGTTCCACACTGGCTCTACATACTCCAAGAACTTAAAATAAGTCGCCCCAGGAAAGTACCTTTAAATATATATGAATTACACCTTTTAGTGGCAAAGCAGTGTTTCAAAGACTGCTGGGCAATAACTAAGTTCCCAGCAGCATGTTTTTCATAAATTAACATTACTGCTCAGAACTCATCTACACTGACTAGAATGCTGCAATTTCTGAAACTATTGCATTACATGAAATTTGAGTTATAAATGCATCACTGTGCTACCATAATAAGGACATAATACTTTGATATACCCATCTCTGCAAAGCCTTCTGGCCTGTAACAGTAAATCATAGACCTATTTTCATACCTCATTACCATTATGTATCTTTCCACTGACACCTGACCTTATGCATAATCAGTTATGAATTTCAAATCACACTTGTAATCTAAATGAATGCCTCATTATTTTACATAACCCAGAATGAAATAAGATTTGAGATGTAATTTCAAATTCACAGTTCACACATTCAGAAATGCAAGTCCATCAAAAAGAAGTAATGGTCTCTAATTCATGACTGTGAACAGCACCAGATCACTCCTACACATAGGAGCTTTGCAAGAATTTCAGGATTGAATTTTAGAAAGGATATTGCCAGTTCTGAAAACTGTTAAAACTGTGTTAAAACTGTTTGGTATGTTGTTAAAGATAATCTGTAAAAGAAAAATGCAAGTACTGAATTTATTACCTGTATTTTGAAGAAAGAACGACAGCACCAATTGCATGAAGTTATAAAACACCAGAAATAGACATGTAAATAATCTCCATGGAACAACAGACATCTACAAAGAAATATATATATATGTATACATGTAAGATAATAAACCCATTCATTAGGGAACAAGAAACATATTTTTGTACTGTATAAAACAGCTGTACAGTGTGCACACAGACTTTCCTGATCTCTCCAAAATGTCTGTCAGTCACTTCTCCCCATCATCATTAATATATTTTCTTCATTGTCCATGGGAGAACTTAGTGACTGTTTTGTACTTTTAAACTAAGTACTTATAGTGCAGTTTGTCTCCATATATATATATACACATGCATACATATATATACTTGCTGGTGCACACATATATGTATACATGTATATATATATGAAAAGAACAAATACACACATGTACACACACACACACACACACGTGACAGATCTAAACAACTCCTCCATCCTGTGCTATTGAATTAGTGCTTGTAACAAATCCCTGCACATTTTGTGCAGGGAAGAAAACTTGCTGATTGTGCAGCTTGAAGTCATTAGATGGTTCCATTTCTAACAGTCTGCAAGCACACATCTGAGTCATATGGTGGTATCCCATATGCCTGAAGAGAGTCTGTTGCAGGAGGTATCTTCTACCTTCTTCAGCAGCGTTGGCTTCTTACAAGGGGGTGGAGGTGGGGCTGAGATTCTTTGCTCAGTATTGTGCAATATTTGCTGCCAATCTTCTCTCTCTTCACACAGCTTTCTTCTCCAATCTAGAAGCTCTTGTAGAGCCACACTCTCATTTTCGGAAAGTCTAAGCTGATGAATTACCTGTGAGAAGAAAATAATAATAACAGTAACAATAATAATAATGGTGGATAAAGAAAACAGATCAAGTGAGCCTGTTAATAATTTGAAGCAAACTTGTCCTCCAAAAAGGTTTTAAACTCTTTACACTGAAAATAAAGAACATTAGTGATTTAGAATTGCCTTATTGCAATCCCATGGGTGAAAGTCAGAGTCTGAAGTCACAATGTCTGAAGCTGTATGAAGCAACTGCCAAAACTGAAACAAAGAGAAAAAACTCCCCTGTGTCATCAAAGAGTGCAGTAACACAATTCTCTAAAACACACAAAGCAGACTGCCTACAGCTGCTGCAGGAGTAGCAAGTTTTTTTCCTCTAAATATTAATATCCAAATAACCATAACCAAGAAACCATAACCTTTGTTGCACATTAGAATCAGTAAAGCTACTTGTCAAAGACAGGTGTTATCCTCAGCACCAGGGGCCAGTCCTGGTCTTCCTCCAGAGTATACATGAACAACTTTAACTCTAGTTTCAGTTGCCCTGAATCTATTTATAAATTCATTCTAAAGTAGTCACTGTTCTGTAATAGATTCATAATACACATTGAAGAAACTGTTCCCTTCCATTTAACTTTTCTATTGCAGTGATTATTTATTTTGTTCAAGTCAGTTTGATGCCCTCATGGCAGCTCAAGTCCATGAAGCAATGAAGTCCATCTCACCATCTTTTAAGACTTGACACTTATACAGTAGAGAAGCCCCTTGAGCTAGTATTGAGATCTATTGGCTTGGGAGCATTCTGTAGCAGGAGACATTTAACTAGAAAATATGAAACAAGCCTATCATAACATCTAATAGTCCACAACCCTTATCCTGTTACCTTCTTTCTTAAGAACCTCAGGAGCACCTCTAAGAGGCATCTATGGCATGACTAAAATGCCCACATTTCACCTCACACAATGGCCTCACATTAAAGCTGAATTTTACTTGTCATAATGAGGGATAGCTGCATCCTTGTTATGAAAAGGAAATTATGTGCAGTGCTCGTGGGATACCCCACGCATGATTAGTTCCAGTTATGAGGGAAGCTGAGTGACATGAAGGGCATTTTTGTCACTGATAGACAATGGGGTTCCTGGGGCCCAAGAACTGTCTGTGGGCTCTTCCTGTGGCTCCTGCTCTTCCCTCATGGAATAGCAAGTGGCTGGGTATAGAGGCTAACCAGGCTTTACATTTCAAATTTCAAATATGTCCTGTGCAAGTCAGACCTTTCACATTCACATGGTGTCAGAGAAGGAATGAGCCCTTGCATGGATGTTCCTGAATATGTACAGGGAATTTGCTCAATTTCTGGTTGGTTGGTGCTTCAAAGAGAAACGCGTTAGCTTATAATAACAGTTATAATAAAAAAAAGCAGTTTAAAGTTCTGAATTTTTTTTAAAGAAGAAAAAATGAAAATGTTTGAAAGAATTAAAGTGTATTTCAATTGTATATCACTATCAAGTTAAAAACCTCTTTGCTTTTATATTTACACAAAATGCAACAGGGCATCTCAGCAACTCAGATAAAAATGAAATGTTTCCCATATATTGCTAGAGGGACATTAGAGAAAAAACACATTACCTTTTTTTCAGTGGTTTATAGAAGATTAGAAGACAAAAATTTTCACTTGAAAACAACTTATCAAGAAAGACAGGTCAGGTGTTTTACCCTATACAACAGCTGGGTAGTTTGTGAGTCACCATGGCTTACCCAGTCCTGGCCATTTTATGTAGTTTTATATGAGTTTAAATTATGGGCATAATCCATTCTGAAACACACATAGATTGGACTACAGTCTTCCCAATTTTGACACCTTATTTGTCCCTAAATTTTAGAAATTCCAGGAATCTACACTAGGCATGCTTCTTAGAGAGGTGCTGGAGCACACAAGAACCAAGTTTGGTTAGACTATAATTGCAATAGTTTCACATGAAAGATTTTCAGAGATAATTAATCAAAGGCATGCCTGAATACTGGAGGATAAATATAGTCATAAAAAATAGATATTTTAAAACTGTGTTGTTGGATGTGTTCTGGTGACAAAAGTTTGATGGCAGGATTAATGAAGTCTGGAAGAATTTTCAGATTGAGAGATGGACAGAGTATTTGAAAAGAGACAGTATTAGTGCCATTCCAAGGAATATAAAGGCACATAGATACATGTAAGAAGTAAGTGCATTTTGCCTGGGCATGGGATTGACAAATCCTATTTATGGCTTAAAGGCATTGAAAAGCTTTATTATACTGGCCTTGCTTATGCAAGCTGTAAATTAATATTTGGTTATCACTTAGAGCTCATTTTCCAGTGCACAGTGGAAAAAAGTTGGTTCAGTTCACAAATAAGTGTACATATTTTATCTCATTTTCTAAAACAAGGATGGAAAAATATCTCAAACATTTATTCACTGTGAAACTGATCTGGTAAATTAGCTGGAAAACAGCCTGAATGAAGGACATGAGATGAAACTAGAGTCGAAATGAAATGGGGGAAAATGCATAAGAAGTGGCAGAGCTCTAAATGAACCAATTAATTTAATTAGATCTATTTGAATAACATGATATTTTTTCTCCATTTATGATTAGACCTGTGACGAGTTAAATATCTATTATACATATTCATTATAGAAAAGGTACATGGAGCACGATGTAAAACAGTAAGCTATGTTTCTTCATTATTATTCTATATCCTGAAAAGGTATTTTGTAAAGGGTGAATGATGTGTGTAGAAATTAATTACTTTAAGACTATGGATCTTTTTAATGGACATTAAACAAAAAACTTCCACCACCTGTATCAGCAACAACAACTGCAGACCAGGATTTTCATGCTCAAAATCAATGGTCAGTCAGACATTTGGGCTAGACCCACAAAACACAGTATTTGAATACTGGCATTTAATAGTTCTGCCTTTGGGTGGAAACACCATCTCTGTGTTTAGTATCCAGAGTTCTTTATGAGCAAAGAAGAAAAGCTGAAGTATCAAAGTCACACACAAAAGAAGAACTTGTGGAGTTACCACAGCTATTAACCAGAAAATGCAATGGATTGAAGGATTTAAACAATATCCATATTTTCCACTGCAAAATATGGCAAGATGGACAAAATAAATTTGTAACAAGCAGCCCAGGGAAGAGCTTTCAGGATTTCTTTCCACTTCACACCCCAAACTCTAATGTTATAAAAGCAAATTCTCTCCTCCTGGCATCAGGGATTTTGTTTGGTGACAGAACTCCAATGACTCAGTTCCATCACAAGATGTAAGGAAGGACTTTCATCATTCTCCGGAAGTTAGAGCATATTGAAAAATTAGAAGATGTGGATTCAGCTTCTCTGTGCTGGTCCTACCTGAAATGAAAATAATTTTCCTCTTTGCATTGGGAAATAGAAAAGAAAAGAGCTGATAACAGTGCAGTGAAAAGAGCTGATAACACTGCAGTGTTTTGGCTGCTGCTGAGCAGCACTAGCACAGGCTCAGTGCTGTCTCTCCAGCATTCCCACCTGACCAGTAGTCTGGGGATGGGCAACATTTTGGGAGGGGACACAACTAGGCCAGCCTACCCAAAATGACCAAAGGGATATTCCATACTATATGAGATCTGCAGATTAAAAGTAAAAGAAGGGGGAAGGGGGAACATTAATTATTTACAAAGTTTGCCTTTCAGAACAACTTCCCCATAGGCTGAATCCCTGCTTCTCAGGAAGTGGCCAGACATTGCTTGCTGATCAGAAGTAGAGAATAAAATCTTTTTGTTTTCTTTTCTTTGCCCTTTGCTGCTTACACATGCACAACCTTAACTTTTGCTTTAGTAAACTTTCTATATCTTGAACCATGAATTTTTTTCCATCTTGTTTTTACTCTCTGTCCTGTTGCAGGGGGGAGCAATAGAGCAGCTTGGTGGGCACTTGGTGTTCAGCCAGGGTCAAGCCACCACAGTTCTTTCAGGTTAAGCAAGAGACCAAGTTCCCACATGCTGAGAGGACACTGCAACTACAAGGGGTAAACCCTGAGTGCAGAGCAGAAGGACTCTGACTCCTGTGCTTTGGGCTGTCAGATTAGTGTGATAAAGCAAATCCTTCAGAGAGAGCCCCTTGCAGTTTTAATGCACAAAAAAACCACTGGAGACAGAGCACTTTGGTTACATGCTGGCAGTCATGAAAGTCCTAGAGCACAATTTTGCCTGTACACATTTGAGTATTGCATAGTCATTGGAGAATGAGGCCCTGAACTGCCTTTTGGATTTAGGCTAGTAAATTCTGCCTAGATTTCACTTTACAGCTTAAAGAAGACATTGGATTTCAACTTTGCCTTAGCATTAAGATGAGTTGCTATAAGCTAGGTCAATAAATTATTTTAATTATAGTCTACTTCATATGCAAGTTAAAAATTCAGCAAGTTTTTAATTATAGAAAGTAAAAAGTTTCATATTTTAAGTAATTTGTGACAAAAAATATGCCAGATAAAATGACTGACACATTTAAAATTAACTCAAGTTATTTAGAGCTTTAGCTCTAGAATCTCAAGAAATTCATTCTGCATTAAAAGATCAAACACTATAACTTTACAGAGGATGTTTTGTAGCATTCAGAAGCAAAGAACTTAATTCTTTGTGTGTCAAATGCAACAGAGTCTTAATCATCAGCCTATGACTAAAGGGCTCATTACACAGTCTGAAAACCAGATTTATTATTGGTAGATTCTTTTCATTCTTTCACCTCAGTTTGCTCCCTCACTGATGAAAGGTAGGGTTTACCTATTAAAAACTATGTGTATACTACTCTAGTAATTTTTTTTCATTTGTAAGTGCATTGTTTTTACTAATATTCACCAGAAATTAAGTATTTAATTACATATGATAATTACATATTATTTGAAACATACAAATAATGCACTTTGCAAAAAATTACAGTTCTAGTTTTATTGCTTCTTTATGTTTTAGTAAGATTCCTGCTTATAGATATATAAGCACAACAGAAAATCACAG